GGAGTGTTTGTGACGTAGTTCTGTGTTAGATTTCTCCAGCTCCATGTTTCGAGTCCGTAGACTGGCATTTTGTTTATTATCTCTACCATGTCCCTGATATTCCTTTTCTGTGATTTTTCTTTTTCCTTCTCCTCAGCCTCTGTACGTTTTTCTGTCATCTGAGTTTCTCGTTTGTCATCACGGATCCTTACGGCGAACGTGTAATCTTTCTCCCTACTTTCCACGGGGCCCTGTGAGGTTTGTAGCTGATTTTCAAGTGTCTGTACTTTGTTATTTAGATCACTTATTTGTCTTTGAGCGTAATCATATCGTGACTGAAGACTGATGTTTTTAGCATTAAGATGCTCCAAGTGAGTGCTGTAGGTTTTGATATTAACAACCTGGTCCTTTAATTCCTGAACCTCGTTATGCAAGTGTCCGTTTTCGTGCGCAAGTTTATTCATCTGTTCCATCATATCCTTCATCCCATTCTCCACACGAGTCTGAAAATTTCTTTGTTGGTCGAATTGTAACAATCTCTCTAGCAGGGTACCATTTTCTTGTTCCAACGCGTTCATCCTTTCTGTCTTAGTCTTCAGCTCTGACTTAAGTTGCTGTATCTCGTTAGTCATCAGCTTGCTACGTTCTTGAATGGAGTCCACAGTCCGACTCATCGGAGTGGAAGCTGATTTCCATAAAACACTTTTATGTCGTTGTTCAACGTTCATTTCTGTGGGTTTTGGTTTGCTCGTTCCTACAATGTTGACAATTGTTGATTTGGTGGGCTCGTCTCTGTCCCTCGTTAGTTTCATGTCGCATATACTTGTGTGGTGCTTCTTCTGGCACGTTTTACATCTGTTGCGGGATTTACAATCTGCGGCGCGGTGGTTTCCTAAGCAGTTGAAACATAATTTCTTCCGTTTTAAGATGTCGAATCTTGTACTTACTTCTGTAACTTTCTTACAGTCCCCTGGAAAGTGATTCTTTGTGCAACAATAAATGCATGGGCGGCTCTTTATCTCTGTTTTTTCGACATAAGGAGTTGACTCTTTTGTTTTCTGGTTGTGTCCATTATGAACATGACATTGTTTCTTTGAGGCTCCGGTAAGAAACAATGCTGTTGCGTGGAATCCATCGCTGTTTTCAATCTGGCCTGATTCAAGGGTTTTGACTTCTTTGCTGATAGCTTTACGAAGATTGTGTAGTGAAATGTTGTCACCATCGTACTCACGTGCAATGTTTTTCCTGATTTCAGCTGGTAGCTTGTTCATTATGACTGGAATAAGTAAAGCTCCGTACATCTCTTGTTTTTGTCCTAGACACTCTAAACTCCTGACATGAGATTCCAAGCAGTCTCCATAATTTCTTAAACTAATGGCGTCGTTTCTCGGGGCTTGCAGTTCCATAAGTGCTCTCATATGAGCATTAATAATTTTCTGGGGTTGACCAAACCGTTCCTTGAGCAAGTCTATGGCGGTTTCATAATTTGCGTTTGTGAGAGTAAATCCTGCAATGGTTTGTGCTGCTGCGTCCTGTAATTGAGCCTTGAGATACGAAAACTTCTGAATTGGTGTTAAAGTTTGGTTGCGGTGAATTGTTGATTCAAATGAATCCCAAAACATATTCCATTGTAATATATTCCCGTCAAAATCTGGAAGATTTAGCTTCGGTAATCTATGATTATTCGTAGCGTGGTTGGATAGTAATGACAAAACATTTTTCTGCCAATCTAGGTTACTTTGTTCATTGAGATCAGAGGCAGGAAAATTGTTTAAAATATTCTCACAAGCCGTTTCACTTGAGTTAATTGCAGCTGACGTGTTTACGTTACTATCATGAATTTCTAAGGCGGGTACAAAACACTCAGCACTGGCGTTCAAAGTTTTACATGAAACTTTTTCCGTAAATTTTTCTGTTTTCTTAATTTTGCAATCCAATTCGTACATATACTCATCTGTGTTCGTGATTTCTTCTTCTATGTCCTCTTCAGATAAGGCATCTAATATTCGTTCATTTAGTTCTTGTAGAGTTTGTCTTTTCTGTGTTAGGGACTTCCTAATTATTTCGATTTCCTCCGTTACTTCGCTGGCTGTATTTTCTTTCAAGTCCAAAAATCGTCCGAAAAGTTTCGTCACCGCTGACCTGTTACCGGCCCGTGTGGCTTTCAGTCTTCCTTCCATTTTACGTATTATGTAGACATTCCGTCGATCACGGCACCAAAATTGTTGTGGAAAGAATAGAAATGCGTCTTGATCGTATAGTGGTTTATTTAGACTCTGTTATTAACTATAGAAACATAACGTACAGTATTGTGACGTAACAATAACGTTAACGTACATTACATAAACCCGCGGATAATCCGTGACACCTACTTCGCCTTTGCTGACGCTCGTTGTATAATTGTTGGACGGACAATACCTTAGTTATTTTTGCAATATTCTGTTCAAAAGCTTAATCCCCCGCACTGTAGCTATTGTCAAAATTGCATGCATTTGAATTGATGTTAAGAATATCTAGCAAACATCTCAAAATATTTTCAAATCATGTAATATATTTGTTTGAACGAGTCGCTGTTTGTAGGAATATCGTATGAATATGCTTCCCTAAATATGAGTATCGCATTAAATGTTGTCTTATTCTACTTATTCGTATTAAGATAGTAACGCGATAGTTTATGGACTTCTGGCTCTCAGTTCATCCATCACTCGCCAAAATGCCTTCTATTGTCATACAAACCTCAGACCATTGTTGAATAGGCATCTTATTCTGAGTCATATCGTATCAGATTTGAGAGAATCACCCTCTGTCAAAATTCGCAAGTCGGGCGTGGCGAAGGAATGTGATTTTCAATTTTTAGCTCACCCGAGCTTCTTCTTCTGAAGAACTACTGGGCCAATTTCAACCAAACTTGCTACAAAGTATCCTTGGGTAAAGGGGATTCAAGATTGTTCAAATGAAGGGCCACGCCCTTTTCCAAAGGGAGATAATATGAAATAAAGAAAAATTAATGTCAATTTTTAAAAATCTTCTCAAGAACCACTAGGCCAGGAAAAATGAAACTTATGTGAAATCATCTAATGGTAGTGTAAATTCAAGTTTGTTCAAATCATGACCCCCGGGGGTAGGGCGAGGCCAAAATGGCCGATCAAAGTTTTACATAGGAATATATAGGAAAAATCTTTAAAAGTCTTCTTCTCAAGAACCACTGGGCCAGGAAAGATTAAACTCATGTGCAATTATCCTCAGGTAATGTAAATTCAAGTTTGTTCAAATGATGACCCATGGGGGTAGGGTGGGGCCAAAATGGCCGATGAAAGTTAAACATAGGTATATATAGGAAAAATCTTTAAAAATCTTCTTCTTAAGAACAATTGAGATAGGAAAGATTAGACTCTTGTGAAATCATTCTCAGGTAGTGTAGATTCAAGTTTGTTCAAATCATGACCCCTGGGGTTAGAATGGGGCCAAAATTGCTGATCAAAGTTTTACGTACGAATGTATTGGAAAATCTTCTAAAATCATCTTCTCGAGTACTTCAAAACCATGATTAGTGATATTTATATGGAATCATCCTCAGATAGTGTAGCTTTTAGTTTGTTCAAATCACAACCCCCAGGGATAGGGTGGGGCCACAATGGGGGATCCATGTTTTACATTAAAATATATTGAAAAATTCTTCTTCTCAAGAAAAGCAAAGCCATGACTAGTGATACTAGTATTTATATGGAAGCATTCTCTGAGTGAGGTAGTGTAGAATTAAATTTGTTCAATTATAACCCCCAATGGTAGGATGGGGCCACAATGGTTGATCAAAGTTTTACATAGATAAATATAGGGGAAAATCCCAAGAACAGAAAAGCTTTGTTTGTGTTGAAGATTTAAATTTGTTCAAATCATGGCCCTTTGGGTTAGGGAGGGAACAATGGGTAATCAATTTCAATTTTTTATGAAGTAATATATAGGAACAAAATGTTTAAAAAGAAATCTTTTTATCAAGAACAGCAAAGTCATGACGTGCCGTATTGATACGAAGGCATTGTCAAATGGTATTAAAATTCAAGCCTCCCCCCCCTCAGTAAACTTTCAGTTCTGATCTGATATGTGCTTTTTTCTAGCCGATGTGCTCAGGTGAGCGATGTGGCCCCTGGGCCTCTTGTTTATTAATTCGTGTAAAATCCTAGTACAAATTGTGAGAGTGTGACAGGACCTTTAAGTCACTTTCTTTTTAGTTTTTTTAAAAAATTTTTTTCTTCAAGGCCAACAAGAAGAATGGCTACACCTATTTCTTGGGCACAGGAAGTGATCATTTGTGATATATGTAACAAATTAGCAGCAGACCTATTTTGTAATAGCTGTCAGACCAAACTGTGTGGAAACTGCATCAACACACATATCAATGCAAATAAACTACTCCCGCATGATATTGTTCCCTTTACTAAGAAATATGTGAAAGTTGTTGGCCAGCAATGTGAAATACACCTAGGTCAGAGGTATGAAGCATGCTTTTCTGGCCCAGCCCTTACAGAAAAAACTAATAGAAACTTATAAGTGTTTTATAATCCACTTACTAGCAACTTATAAGTCACTTATAAATTTTGAAATTTACTTATAACTGTACTATAAGTCAAAGTAATTATAAGTTAGGAACGTATTTCGTTAATACTTCACTTATAAGTAAAGATGAGCTACACATCAGTGAATATTTCACTTATACCTCACTTATAAGTGAAGATCAGTATGGTATGAGCGAAGTATAAGTGTGGACTTCGAATTTTTACCCTATACTAGACTTCTCTCAAGGAGCATTATGGGTATTCAAGGTAGCCAATCAGAAAGTTTGTCTCTGCAGAGATCAGCAACAAGAATTTGAAACCAAGTTTGTGTCTGTGAAAGGATGACACCTAGGTCAGAGGTATGAAGCATGCTGTCAACAATGTGACGTAGTGGTCTGCATGAAATGCGTCATTGATTCACACAATGGCCACACTATCGAAAACATTCCTGCCAAGTTCTATGACAACATGAAAAAAAATATGAAAGAATCAGAGGAACTTCGGAAGCAATTAGATTTAGAGAGGCTTCAGAGTGATACACGAAAATTGAATATTTCAAAATCAATAGCAGAATTTGAAGTGCTTGAAGGAGAATTGGAAAAACACAGAAAATGCTGGCATCAGGAAGTAGACGATATCTTTGATAAACACAAGAGTTTAATTACGTCCATGAGAGAGAACGCGATAAAATCTCTTACCGAACAAAATCATGCACCAAAACATGTGATCGAGAGAAAGCTCCAAATCATAAAAGAAAACAAAGATATCATAAGGTCCAAATCAGTCTCTAAGGTTGTCAACTACAAAACAGAATTTCAGGAATATAAAGCTTCACCTAAAGAGATTGATGCTATAGTAACTGTTCCTTCCTTAAAAGTAAAGACAGATCGAGGTAAAGAACTCGACATGGAATATGGAGAGGTAGGTGCTACATTAGCACAAAGATTACATAACAGCGAAACTAAAGAAGCTACCGTGTCGCCTTCGACAGAAATGCTTGGAAAAGGCAGAGTAATTGCTGATATTCAACCTTTATCGATTTGCGAGTACATTCAAATTCTGCTGTTACATTTGCGAGTACACAAGCAATAGCTTGTGTTGGATCTGACGAAGCATGGCTTGGTCGCGGAAACAAATTCATGTTACGTTTGGACATAACTAGTCTGTAAGAGAGTATGTCAAAATTACAAACGATTCAGTTGACATCTCAGTAACTCAACAGGGTGAACTGATATATACTGATACTGACAGTGTGATAATTGTCAGATCTGGTATGACAGAAAATTTGATAAAAACGCCTGAAGGCTGGGAACCATGGGGATTATGCTGCACCAATTCAGGTGATATCCTCGTCAATATGGTTACGAATGCTGTTATCCATGATCACAAAATAGTTCGTTATGCAGGACAGAAAGCAGTACAGGACATTCAGAAAGATTCTGATGGAAACCCTTTTTTTCAAAGTGGAAACTTTATAATTTGTTTAGCTGAAAACAGAAACGGGGACATCTGTGCCTCTGATGGAAATGCAAAGAAAGTAGTCGTGATGGACAAGGAAGGGGCTGTCAGATTCCGGTACACAGGATATCCAGCCAAAAGGAAGAAATATTTCTGTCCAGAGCACATAGCTACTGATTCCAAGAGTCAGATCATTGAGACGGATCACAACAATGATTGTCTGCATATTCTTGATCAGAATGGAGAATTCTTACAATGTGTGGATGACTGTGGATTAGACACACCGGGAGGACTGAGTATAGACAACAAGGGAAGGTGTTGGGTTGGGTTGCATTCTGGAAAATTGAAAGTGATTTCATTGAACATGTAAACCTGGAAGAAAGATGGTTTGCAAATGGGCAAATGAAATTTTTCTAATAAGCAATTTGAACGCTTCAAAAAATAATAAAGAGAAATTTATTAAATCTAATTATTCCAGATAAAATTAATTTGTTTTTATGATTGGCAAACAAGAACAATGTATTGGAAGACATTACGAACTATTTTGATGTAATCAGACTAAGATTCTTAATGATTGAGAGTAATACACTTGAAGATGGAATTATTAACAACAACAGAAAACTATAGACTATCTTAATAGCAGTGAGAATGGAGCTGTAATAGTATTTTGTAGTATCATGACTTAATAAAACATTAATACATGTAATATACAGTTATCAGAAGAGTCGGAATTACACAAAAACATACTAATAACTTGTAACTCTCCCATTTAATTAGGACGAGAAATCATGGATAAGTTGTTTAGATTGACAAATGATCATCATTGCGTTATAAAATTTCCACTACACGTTGATATACTTTGCATCAATAGTAAAACGTAGCTAACTGTTTTTCGTCTATAAAAAATGTTGCCTTGTTTCGTCATCAATCATAAAAGTTTATCAAATCTTCTATTTTGTTAAATATATTGGGTTTAAAGAAACGGTTGGCATATTTGCATGTCTTGTCTAAGGCATTTCTAAAGGAAATAAGGCACATGTATGTTAGAAATATTATTATACCGGTATTCTTTTTCTTTGTAAGACTTTTCTGAAATGTATTGATAACGAAATGTTTAGTGTCTTTAGTGTAAATCTGGTATCATGTTGCACGTAGTTTTCATATATTTTGGTGTACTAACATTTTCATCGACCAATTAAAATGTTCCATTTATTTAATAAATTCTTCTTTTTACTTTTGAATCTAAATCCTGGATCCATCTGAAAAGCATACAATATTAAATGACTTTCTTTTGGGATTTAAACATGGGTAATCAGAGATTACAGCACTCACCATATGAGCCATATCTTTTGAACAGTAAATACCAGGACATTTATACATCTATACACATATATATTCTTTGGTGAAAAACCTTTCATTGGATACCAACAATCATGACATTTTGACCTTGACCATTTCCATCCTTGTGAAAAAAAACTTTAACATTGGCCATAACTTTTGGACGGTAAGGGATAGGGCTTTCATACTTAAATATATGTAATCCCTGTGAGAAGATCATTCATTGGATACCAAGAACTTTGACCCTTTGACCTTGGAGTTTGACCCATTTTTAAAAAGCAAACCTTGACTATAATGTTAAAAGGGTTAGGGTTAGTGCAATCATACTTTATATATTTCATTCTTGTGACATGATCTTTCTTTGGGTACCATCAAATCTGACCATTTGACCTTGACCTAGGAGTTTGACCTACAATTCAAAATTGGCAACCTTGCCCATAACTTCTGAAGGGTTGGGGCTAGTGCTTCCAAATTTCACATATGTATTTTTTGTGGCAGTACCATTCATTAGATACCAATAACCTTGACCTTTTGACTATGACCTTGGAGATATCAAGAAATACCAATGTATGAAATTTGCATTTAAGAAAAGTTTAACCTTTGCTATGTTGCAATACGGGGGCATCAGTGTTTCACAAACACTTGTTTAAATTGTATTTAATTGATTTACTTAAAACAATAATTTATTTACTGAATCAAGGAGAATTCAGATCAGTTGCAGTACAAATAATTACTTAAATATGGTAGTCTAATCACTATCGGAATTGAATTTTTGAAATGTAATATATAATTTTGGCTTCCATATTAATTTTCTGTGAGGAGGAGTTATCTTTCTTTCAAATATTCCTTCATGTGAAAAAAAAGTCATACTAATAAAGATGCTGTATTAAGTACTTGAAACATAAAACCATTTTTAAAATGGTCTTTAAAATGATACAACTTATTAAATTTATAAGGCTGTTGACGTTGGAATTAAATGTTTTATTGTTAAATATAATAAAACAATTACAAAAAAAATGGCTAAAGAAATAGTGAGTATTGTTTCCATCATATGTAGATTTCATCTAATTGACAACTCACAGGGCTCAATTAGGAAACTCTGAGCAAGGAAATTGTGAGTAGTTTTCACACTTTGTACTTTCAAAGTTATCTCTATTATCAGAGGGACGGTACCATGCAGTGTTTCTGGTAAATAGTGTCGAATTTAGTAAATATGATATGTATTTCATTTACTTAGTAATCTTTTAAGTAATAATATTCTACATTTTAATTGATTTCAGTATTACATTTACAGTAATAATTCATAAAATTTAGTAAATAGAAAGCATATTATTTCTAAATTAAGTATTAATAATTTACCAAAAATGAGTAGTTCATTTACTAAGTAATATAATTCCTATAGTTTAAGTAATTCTATTGATACTTAGTAAATCATTTTATAAGTAAATGAATTCATCCTTATTACTAATTATGTTTACAATTACTAACCATGATAGTCATTTACTTGCTTTTCTGACTAAATGGATTACTAATAATCACTAGTTTTTCTTAATCTAATATCTTATTTTAAAAACAACAAGTAAAACTTTTTTTAGAGTGTAGGTTTTGCGCCTTTAAGTCTGCGCTAGGGAGAGAGTTGGAAAAGACTGAAGCTTTTTTATTTTTGATTTCACATATCATAAAATCAGGAGAGAAAAAACTATTAATAAAATATTAAAACAATGAAATACAGAATTCCATGTGTAAAAAATTATATAAGCCATATAATTTTTAAAAATACCACATAATTTTTAAAAATATAGCTTTCATGAACTTTTAGAATTGAGACATGTCTTTTTTCAGAGCTGGAGGTTGTACTCGCCTTGTACGTCTCTCAGGTAGTGAACAATCCGATATTTAGAAAGTATCAATCATATTAATTTGAATTTTCTAGTCTGATTTGAAATAAATAATTATAAAGCTATAACAAATACAATTTTTTGTTTTTGTCGACTATTATCAAATTTATGAACGTTATAACATAACATTTGGATCAACCCTCGTAGTTACTTGGCAATTAGACCTGCACAAACAATGTAAACCTGTTCACCCTTCCAGGAAATGTATAAACTGCACCAAAAACTTTAACCTGTTCAGTGTTCACTAAGCTGGAAAATGTCGGTCACATCCAACATCCAAAGCAAGCCTTGTAGTATGCAAATGTGCATCCAAGATGTATATTCCATGCAAGGTTTGTCGTCATAAGTCGTATAGTTACTATGTAATCGGACCTGCACCAAAAACTTGAAGCTGTTCACTTAACCGGAAAATGTAGGTCAGATCCAGCGTCTGAAGCAAACTATTGGTTGCACATCCTTAGAAGTGTTATCCATGTAAGTTTGGTCAATATTTTGGCTTATAGTTACTTGGAAATAAGACCTTCACAAAAAACTTAAACCTGCTCCTAAAATATTAATATGTATGTCATTCATTTCCTGAAAGTGCAGCATCTGAAACCGTACAATGAAGAAACACTAAAAGCATCTTCCATGCATCTCTGACTCATATCATAGAAAACCACATCAAAACTTTAACTTGGGACGCCCACACCGACACCGATGGTATCACATTAGCCCCCACCCCCCTTTTCGTTGAGGTGAGATTAAAAATATTTTCATATCTTCAATATGAGTTCTTCGGCAAAATATGTAAAGAAGCACGGTTTTTACATTCGCATCCATTTTCATCGTCTTAGAAGAGATCATTTTTAAACAATTTCCAGCTCAGTGCTGTGAGGCGACCATAATTTGATTTTTAGTTTTACGGATCCGCCGACTCTAAAAATTTGCATTTCAAAAAAAAAATAAAATCGGAATTTTTCAATCCGCTCGTGTCAAACCTGTGTTTTATAAAAGCAAATCAGTCAGAAACGTAAAAAAACACACATGTGCAGAATGGTAGAAGAAGGTGAGCTGTCAACTTTGATTTTATCGAGAGTCTACCAATTCTGAACCCTCCCCATTGCATGTCTCTCTCTATTTTTTTAATTGCTGTTTCTACCGATTTCGAAAAAATCCGGATTTTTTACCTTCTTCGATTTGTAAAATACCGACAAGTCAAAAACAAAAATGGCGGTCATGCAGTGTTTACCGGTAGCTAATAATGCTTATTGCCACTGATAACAGGTGATAATCAAGGTGTCAACTGTGCTACCAGATGTAATTGCAGTTCTAATTGCTCATTATCCTCATAAAAAGTGTTTTTTATCAAAGACAGAGATACCAGATGTGGAAATTTTGCAAAAAAGGACGGTAAATAACGATATGAATTTACTTGATACTTTGCTGCAAACAAGTTTATATGCGCCTAAAACAAAACAATTCCTCCATAAATAATACGGTGATCAGGAAAGACATGAACTACAGTACTTTATTATTAATTTAAAGAGGAAATGAAAGCAAGTACATGGTAACTAATAAAGAGTCTGCAGAGGGAACACCGCGGATTATGAGATTCAGTGACTTAGCAAATCCTACATCAACACCAGCATATAAAAGCCCTTGAAACTGCAGAGCAACTTGACAGTACCTCTAGAAGACTTCTTCGAATTTATGTAGCTAAACAGGGTAATAAAGTTTCTGAATTTCAAAATATAATATTAGCAGATTGGAACAGGACTACAATAATGCTTTGATTATTGATATCATATGTACTAAGAGTAAAAAAAAGAATGCAGGATCTAAGAATCTATCTAATTCATTCTCAATAGATTACACATGTTATTTTTTAAAAATGTATTAAGTTTTAAGTTTGGCTAACAGGTACTTCCAATTCCTTCAATTTCAGATCTTTATTAAATCCAGGAAACAATTCTCTTGCTCCTCATAATGAGAAAAATCCATTCATCCATCAGTTAAAAGCTGGAAACTCAGACCGTCTGCAGAATATTATTAATTCGTTTAATTGCCAAGTTAAACTTCGATATTTACCCTGAATATTATTCAAATGACACTCAAATGAATGTGCAAACTATACAGTGAAGAACATAATTAAATTTTTATAATTTCAAATATTACATGGTACTCATATTAAACAATGTTTGAATTAAAAGTTGTAATTTTTATAAATAACAACATTTATACATGTAATGTGTATTAATATTAAAAAAAACATATCTTGTAAGTTGTTTTTTTTGTTTTGTTTTATGCTACAGTGAAATGTGTGACTTTTTATTTGTGAAAAAGGTCGTTGCTAGCATGATTTTTGTCTTTTTTTTTTTTTTTTTTTCGTCCTCCGACTTGACCTTTCTTGAAAAAAAATCCGTAAAACTAAAAATCAAATTATGGTCGCCTGACCATGC